ATTATATTATCAAGAATTTGGTTTTATCTCTCTAGAGAACCCTGTCTAACACAGGACTATACATGTTAGGTGATTGTTCTCACTTTGTGACCTAATCTGAGAACTGGGTAACATAGATCACTATTATTCTTAGACACCATACACATTCATTGACCATCATTTGTGAATTTCTTGAGAGCTGAGCTCCTTCTTCCTACCTGGCCTGGCGAGGCGTAGGAGAGAGATGTACACGTCATGGCAATCTCTTTCCTGTGGTATAATGAGTTGTACTATCTGAAAGTTCTTGCAGCGAATAAGCAGAGGGGATCCAGTAGCTGTTGTTGCCTGCTTTTCAATAGTGGAAATCTGACTGTGAAGAATCTAGAACCAAAAATTAATAATGAATAAATAATTGATAAGCACAATAAGAAGTAACACAGCCCGCCAAGCCATAAAAATAATAGCCCTTACATGATAAATGGAGAAAACTTTTGAAGTTGTCAAAAATTTCATTTTCTTGGATCCTCCATGAACGCTCATGGAAGCAAAAGCCCAGGAAACAAATGACATATTGCATTGATAAATCTGTGACAAACGACCTCTTGGAAGTGGTAATAAGAAAAAGTGTCACTCTGAAGACCAAGGTGCACCTAAAGCAAGCCATGGTATTTTCAATAGCCTCCTATGTATATGAAAACTGGACAATGAATAAGGAAGACCAGAGAAGAAATGGCCTCTTTTGATTATGGTGGTGGGGAAGAATTTTGGCCACACCGTAGTTAAGAGAAAAAAGAACCAATCTGTTCTGGAAGATGTACAGATAGGACACTCCTTAGAAGAAATGGTAGCGAGACTTCATCTCATTTGCTTTGTTCTTGGAAAAATCAGTCCCTCGAGAAGGATATCATCCTTGATAAAGTAGAGGATCACCCAAAAAAAGGGAAGGCCCTTTATGAGATGGACTGACACAGCAGCCGCGCTGCAACCATGGGTTCAAGTACAGCAACCGCTGTGAGGATTGCAACATAGTCTTCTATTTATTCTATTGTGCATAAGGTCGCTGTGAGTTGGAACACATGTGTCAGCACCTAACAACAACAACTGTTGGTGTTCTGGAAGGCTACAAGAGAGCTTTATTTTAAAATCATTCTGAAGCACATCTCCTAGCATTTCAGGAGAGTCTTTACTCAGTTCTTAAAGTCACTGTTTCAGTCTTTTATTTTTCTCCCATTTGTAGAGCAGGCACCTCTGTCAAAAATGTAACAATGCCCAGGGGAAAAGGAAAGGCATGGATCTACAATATTGGGATTCTGGCTTGCTACATAAGACAGAGGTAACTGGCTCATGATTAGCATGAGAAATATACGGTAATGGGACTCTTACTTCGCTTTTCTTATTTTAATCTATCAGAAAAAAATGAGGACAACATAATAAAATGACTAAGTGGTGAGCATTATAGAAGCCAATGGATCAGTTCTAAAGCCTAAGACAAATATACAGATATTCAAAAGAATCAGCAGTAGGAAAACAAAGAATAGTCAAAAGGTGGAAATAGCTCTAACACCCATCGATGCAAATACTTTTTGGAGCATAATGCTTTTATTGGGATCTCTCACAGTGACACGAAGATTCTGCATCATCTGGCTCTTTCTGGCACTTCCTTTGATATGGTTTGTGGTAGGTACCTGTAGAGGTAATCCCATTTGGGATGGGTTGACTATTATGCCAATGTGGCTGTGTCACTGGAGAGTATGCCTGAAGTCCATCATTCCTGAGATATAAACGAGCAGACAAGGCATAAAAAAGGGAAGCACGCGTGGGAGACAGCCGATGCCCCACCACATGAAGCCTGCTAAGGAACAGGAGAGAGATGCTGAAGAGACAAGACTTCACCCAGAATCAACAGAAAGAGAGCAAGCTTAGAGCCACAGTCCTGAAGTCAAATTTCTAGCCTGTTAAACTTGGAGAAAACACATCTTGTTTGTTAAAGACAGTCACTAAGGGTATTTCTGTTATAGTACACTCAACACTCAATGACATTAAGTCGATGTTGACTCATAGCGTCCCAATAGGACAAGGTAGAACTGCCCCTGTGTGTTTCCAAGACTGTAACTCTTTACAGGAGTAGAAAGCCCCATCTTTCTCCCATGGAGTGGCTTGTGGTTTCAATCTGCTGACCTTGCAATTAGAAGTCCAACTCGTCACCACTGTTCCACCAGGGCACTATTCAGATAGTTTGCCTGAGGAGACTAGACTGTACAGAAAAGACAAAGCACATGTAATCCAGAGCCAGTCATCTGAGCACCCAAACCTCAAAAACTCACCTACAGTAACATGAGGAAAAAAGAATGGGCATTCAAAACTTGTTACTTTAAGCTTAAGAAGAATCATGTAAAGCTAAAAAGAGGGAAACATACCCAAGTTTCTTTTCTGCTGTCAGGTGCATTTTCCACGAATATGAAATGAGTGGCTGTCAAATACAAAGTTCCCAAGGCGGCTTTTTTAGGAGACACTCGATCGACCAGGCGGACATTTTCAACCTAGAGAAATCATTTTGATGGAAAGAGTGACAATAATTCACAAAATGGAATCAATAACAAAGGAGATAATCTCATGAAATATCATTTTGAGAATTCCCCCCACAATGGCAAACAAAACATCCCCTTAGATTTACTTTGATCTCAAAGTATGGCTCTTTGTATGCAAAATTTAATAATGATCAATTACTGAAAAAACATCCTGAAATGTACTACAAAAGATTTATAGAGCATATTCTTTAAGAATACCCTCTCTGGGATTTAAATGCTGTTGCCATATGCCATTGCATCCACGCCAGTTCATAGTGGTGCGGTCATCTTGAAGAAAACAGCGGTCATCTTGAAGAAAACAGATTGCCAGGTCTTTTTACCTACCAAACCCCAAACCAAACTGCCTGCCATCGAGGAGATGCCGAGTACTAGCGACCCTATAGGACAGAGTAGAACTGCCCTGTGGCCTTCTGAGACTGTGACTCGTGATGGCCGAGGAAAGCCTCGTCACTCTCCCTTCGGGCAGCTGATGGGTTCAAACTGCAGATGTTGTGCTGCAGCCCGACGCCTAACCACGAAAGATGGGGTCCACTAAAGATGGGGTCCACCCCATCTTTTACACGTTAAAGCACAAGGGCTTTGGGGATGTTACACAGGTCACCCTGTTCGTTTCATCATAATTACATAAAAGGTACAGTTTCAGATGGGAAGTTTCTGCATCAAAGTTGTGTGTTTACACAATGACTGCACATGCTTTCCAGCGGCTTCAAACCTCTCTGCTCTGTGTCAACTATTTTGGTTGTGATTTGAGTCTGAGTTCATTCTAATTCCCGGTGCCTCTAGGCGTACGGAGCAGAACTGTCCCATAGGGTGTTCAAGGCTGTGAGCCCTCCGAAGAAATCATAAGCAAGCAGCTAGAAGGTGCCCCTGAGTGGTTTCAAGCAACTAACCGTTATTTGCATCAGACTTGTGCACTTCACTGTTTGTTCCACCCAGTACCTATGTCAACGCCACCCACGTATCGACAGGATTCATTTCCAAAGACCAGGTCATTCTGTAAAAATTGGCCCCATATTGATCACAAAATGAGGATGACGCAGTCCTTACATAACTACCAAAAGATATCATTGCATGACTGCCTAAGCACTCAAAATCACAGTGCAGACAAGTTAACACATAACCACAACCCTCACAACCAGCATTACTCTAGGCCAGCGGTCAGCAAACTTTTCAATCCTGTCTGTCACAACAACTTAAAAATTATTCAAGAGTCATAAATATGTGTTTACAAAGAAATGAAATCATGATTATCTGAATCATATCCTTCAAATTTTCTCAACTTTACTTCAGAGCCACTGGTACGCACATGGCGTGGAGGCTGCAGTTTGCCAACCCCTGCTTTCGCCTCACACCTCAGTGTTAGGACCCGACGCATATCATTAGTGCTCGAATAGTCAGACAGCATATTTTTTACTATTGTCGCAAACATAAAAGGTCACTGAACGAGGCACTTGATAAATGAGAGGCGTAGATATAATAGGGAATACAAGCATACAAGTAGGAGAAAAAGTATCTAAAATGTTCTGTATGTTCACAAGGAAAACTTACCAAACTAAGACCTATGCATTCATACATAATGAAAATACATTTAGAATAATTTGTAATAAAATTCTTCTAATTGATCTAGTTTTTACCACTCAAATAATGTTCAAAACAGATGTTAAAACAGATTTCTAGAAAAGTTTTTCAAGTATATATCCCTTATTTGCAACACAGTCTTAAAAGTATGTGCACTGTGAACATCCCAATATGAAATGTAACAGAAATAGCAAGACGGTGCCTACAGAACAAGTCCTATGAAGCAATGATATGGTGGCGAATCAGAGCCAGACAACTATCAGATGGACATTCCTGTAATGACTAGTAGGCTTAGTAATGCTGCCACTGCCAAGCATCAGCTATCTACAGATAAACACTGGCTCAACCCTCACCTCTTATGTCAGAATAGCTATTTGCATCCATGGGACAGCTTAAGGATTAGTGCATCGCTTTTGCTCTGAGCTTCAGTTTCATGTACATGCTGTGGTCCTGGTGTAGTCTGAGAATGCCACAGGCTTAGGGGTACACCCATCTAGCGAGCGTGTCTCAGGCAGCCAAGAGCCACCATCACCCAAGAAATCCCCTCACCTCCATCTCCTCCTAGTCTTGAGAACCAGGATTAATTTGTGAGGGGTCCACCCACTCTTCCCAGTTTTCTTGATTTCCTGAGATCTACTGAGGTAAATAAGGAATTTGGTTGTTTTCAGTATTTTTAAGTCGTACAAATTACTCTAGAGCAGTTGTGAAGGACCTGGGCCTTCTGCAATGCTGTGTACCCAAAGCTGCTCGTTCAAACAATTGTTCCCCGTTAGGTGAAGACATGAACTATGGGGCAGACACATTTTTGGGGGGTGTGGTTTCCTGAAAGTAATAAGTTATTTTAGGGTAGAGAAACTCAAATTAGGAAACTTTAAATCAAAACTAGATTAGTAAAATAAAATAGTTATAAAGGCAAAAACAAGTTTCAGAACTCTAAAATGCAAATTGAATGCAGTGTTGTTATTGAGATTAAAGTAGTGAAAAATATCACAGAAATAATAAATAATTTCTTTCAACAACATAATCTCATAATCAGAAATTTACCCCAAAATGAGTGATATGCAAAGGAACGTTAGAATTTAATGTATGGGGAACAAAAATTTAATGATATCAAATGACAGAATGGAAGGGCAAGACAGTGTTCCAAGGAGAAGTAGACAAAAATAACTTGGACCTGAATTCTATGTATTTCAATAACAACATTCTTAATTATAAAAATAGCAGACGTCTAGCTTACATTTTATGTGTGTGTGTATATATATTATATATAACACACAAGACCAAGACTAGAAGATAACATTCTTATACATACCTTTCTAATTTTTTCTACACTACATAGAATTTCCAAAACTAAAAATGGGAACTAGCATCACAAAATCATTCTGTTTAAAGGCCATTGGAATTTTTATTCCAATTAAAATATTTTTAAACACTACTCCATGTCATCAAGTGGCTATCTAAAAATAATTATGGGGACAAAACCAAAAATAAATAAAGTAATTAAATAAAAATAATTATGGCTACAACCCAATTTACTACATACTAATATCGTTTTAAATTTTCATTTTATTAATAATTATTAACAATAATTTTTAATTATTATTATTAATAAATTTGTGAGGGTAAACTCTGAGGCTAAATATTTGCAAAAAGATATTGTTATACTTTAGGAACTAGTTCCAAGAAGCAGAATTTAATGTTAATCATTGCAAAAGCATTGTAAGTCCAACTCCTGGAATGCTGACTCAATTTTGAATCCACAAACTGTGTATGTCCAGGTCTTTCTACTTTTCCCAAACTAAGAGAACCATTTTATTGTGTCACCTTTTTTCCCCTTCTTTTCCATTCTTGGGTTTTTGTTTTTGTTTGTTTTCGAAACATTTTACCAGGACATAATCCAGACATCATACCATTCAATAGGTCAGACATATCAAGAAGTGTTGTACAACTGGTACATATAGGAACTGAAAATACAGGGAATCCAGGACGGATGAGCCCTACAGGACCAGTGGTGTGAGTGGCAAAACAGGGAGGGTAAAGGGAGAATGGGTAGGAAAGAGGGAACTGATTACATGGAACTGTGTGTGACCTCCTCCCTGGGGGACAGACAACAGAAAAGTGGATGAAGGGAGACGTCGGACAGGGCAAGATATGACAAAATACCCATTTATAAACTATCAAGGGCTCATGCGGGAGGGGGGAGCAGGGAGGGAGGGGAAAAATGAGGACCTAATGTCGGGGGTTTAAATGGAGAGAAAATGTTTTGAGAAACAATGTACAAATGCGCTTTACACAATTGATGTGTGTATGGATTGGGATAACAGTTGTATGAGCCCCTAATAAAATGTTAAAAAAGAAAAGAAAATATACCAAAACCTTTAAAAAAAAAAGAAAGTTGATCTAAAGAAAGTTTGAAAAATAATTATATTTTATGGCTTTTAAAATAAATGCTTTTTTATATTTAAAAATATATAATAATCTTATGTATATGAATAAGTGATATTAATTACAATCATGTTGTGAACTCACAAAAAAAAAAAAGAAGTGTTGTACAATCGCTACCATCATCAGTTTCAAAACATTTTCTTCCTTCTTGTACTCCTTGCAAGATGTGAGCTCCCCATTATCTCTGCCCTCAGCCCCCCCACCCCCACCCAGCTCCACTATCATACCCTCCCGGGAAGCCTTATTCTAGTTATTCTCTCTATGACTCTTTGGCCAAATGAAAAAGAAAAGAAAAATGTTTCTTCTCATTTTTAAAAAGTTTTTATTGGTTTTGTTGGTACTGGTGTGCTACATATACTTTCATATTGTTAAAAATTGTTTGTGTCTCTTTTGTGAATCATTGATTTATTTTTCCAATGTCTGTAATGTAAGGACTTTTACTATAGTAACGGTAGTAGTGTACAGTGAATCCTGGTACCTGTGTTTTACAACTAATTTGATTTTTACCTAACTTTTTTTATTATCTCTAGCAATTATTCCAGTTAAGTCTCTTGTATATCCTGCCTAAACAGAACAAAAATATGGTGTCTACTTCTCTAGGACCTGTAGCCCCTCACCTTGTTTAACAGCATTACCTATATTAACCCTGCTTAACAGAAGTCACCTAGAGGCTACAAGTCAGTACCATGATGACGGCTGACATTTTGTAATTTTTTATTTTGCTTGCTTGTTTGTCCAATAACACCTTTAATGAGGTTTATTTGCAAACCGTTCACCCATTTAAAGAGTTTAGTATATCCACAGCATTGTGCACATTATCATTGTGCAGTTATCACTGTAATCATGCTCCAAATTTCTATTCATCACCCTCAAAAGAAAGTCCATTATCCATTAGCAGCCACTCCCTAACTTTTCCCTAGGCATCCACC